GGTGGGACAGATGGGGCCTTATATTTAAACATGAATTTCTGGGCCTTACCCAGAGGGTTTCTGCTTCAACAGTGCCATGGTGGAGCCCAAGCACTTGTTAGTCCAGGGACCACACTTAAGAACCATGGTCTTAAGGCATCAGTTTCATCATTGGTTAAAATAAATAATAGACCCAGTGACCCTCAGGGGGGTGGGGGTTGTGAGAGTCCAATGAGACCATGCAAATAAACAGCTCCACATGGTGCCTGCAACCAGAAGGTGCTCAATATGTGTTAACAATTTCTCTTGGAAGTAGTAGAGAAACTTGCCAGGCAGGGAAAACATGACCAGGAACAGAAGTGGGAGATCAGCTGGGCTAATGGAAATGCCAAGGCCCAGTTCAGCAGGCACCTTTCCATCAAGGTCCAGTGCAGCTGGGAGTCACACATAGTTCTACAGGTAAGAAGCCAAACGGATGTGGCAGCATCGGGCACCTGTCACCAGAGGCCAGCAGCAAGACCAGTGTGCTGGGGACTTGGCTGTTCAGCCAGGTCACGAGCAAGCAAAAGTGAAGACTATCCAACTTGAAGTTCAAATTTTAGTATGTCTCAAATATTGCATGGAAGACAGTTATGTTAAAAAAGAAAAAAAAATCGTGTGAAATTCAAATTTCACTGGGTGCCCTTTAGTTGTATTTTCAAAGTCTGGCAATGCTAGCTAGATACCAAGTGCCTGCACCTCACTCATGAAGTCTGCCTTCTGGGTCCCCCACTCTCCTTCTGCTACTTTCCATGAGGCCATTAGGAGTGGCCGAGGAGCTGCTCCAAGCAGTGGCTGTTCCCGCTAAGGACACACAGTCACAGCCGCAGGCCTGGAGCAGCAAAGCTGCATGGCATATGAACACTGGATCTGCGTGTTGATGAAGCATTGGGCTCCCAAATGCCTCACCAAGGGAAGGGCCTCTGTGCTCCTCGCTTCACTGAGAAACATCCCCTGGGAACGTGCCTGCCTAGGAGGTGCTTCCCCCTCTTAACCCAGGGAGGCCCAGCTGCCTGTGTGCAAACTGCAAACCGGGGCAGCAGGGCTCCGGCCCTGCCTCGTCATCTCAGCCGAGTGCTGGCAAAGCCAGGGGACTCCAGGGCCTGCCTCTTCCCCCTTCCTGCCCTCTCCAGGATCCCTGAATCCCAAAGGATTCAGTTCCTGAAACAAACCTGCTGGAAATCCAAGTTTCTGTTAGAAAACGTATGTCACCTTTTTTCTTGGTTCTGCTCTGGCAAAAGGCAAGGCAAATGGCAGGCACTCCATCATGGAAAACTGAGACTGGCCCTGTGGAATGCCGCTTGTGCTGCGTGCCCGCATTCTGTCTCGAAGTGCACACGGCAACCATCTGAGTGGGGGTCTGTAAGCCCCCAGTACCCTGGGTGTTCCACTTTTTCCAGGGAGGGGGGATCTCCAGCTATGACACAGCTCAGCAAGCTAAGCAGAGTCAAAGACGGGCACCTGTGGGTTCTCAGCCTGCAACCTCTCCTTTCCTCCACCTCCTGATGTTGGCAGCATCTCACTGCCATCTATACAATGCTGCCAGCGGTGGCATGCTCACAGCAGGATGGCAGCCCGTGCTGCCTGGGGGCGGGGGGGGGGTGGGGCTGGTTGTTCAGGATTCAGACATTCAAGGACTTCTGCAAAGGAGGACAACGGAAGTCTGTCATCTTAAGTACCTCTCATTCCCCAAAGGCCCCGTATTTTCTAAGCCTGACTTTCCCAAGCCCTTCCTCGGTGTCCCTCCCCTCTACTGAATGTTCCCGCGGTGGCACATCCTTACAAACTGTCGGGTTTTGATGCAGAAAAAGCCCTGAATCACAGCCCCAAAGGGAAAAGCCCTTTCCGGGGCTTTCTGGCCTCAGGCCCTGACTGTGGCTCACCCCTGGCTTAGCTGTTCCCCTACCCCGGGCTCCTCCTGGCAGAGGGGAGGGTGGGCCTGTAAGAAGGCTGGTCATCGCCTGCCCTCTGCTGCCCAATGGTGGTACTGAGCCCGCTGCTCCGTGACCAGCACGAAGGATGGGTGGATGGGAGTCGGTATTTACTAAGCCCTTGCTATACTGCACTGCACTGAAGATGAACATGACCTGCCCTGTCGGAGATCAGATTCAAGTGACGAGACGACATGAAACAGGTACTCAAGTGAAGATGAACTTACAACCGTGGCTGGTGGGCGCACAGGACACGTGGGCCCTGTCCAGTGAGGGATAGGGGAAGCCAAGGGGAGAGGAGGGGTCTAGCAAAACTGGCCCTGAGAGAAGCGCTGTGATAACCTGGCGCCTCGCGAAGTCGTTTCTGATAATCCCGAAAATCTTCACCACGTCCCGCTCTCTTTGGCCAAAGAAGGAAACAGGTCGGGGAAAAGAATTTACCTGATCTCGTTTGGATTCTTAAAGTCGCGTTTTCCGGCCGGTGGGGGACAGGGACCCCCGGGATCTCCGGGACCCTCTCTCCTGCCGCTCTCGGGCGCAGGGCTCGGGGCAGGACCGGGGTGGAGCCTGAGACCTAGTCCCGCCCCAGCCCCGACAGGTGCAGAGACGGCCTTGAACGTGAAGGCGGGGCAGGCTCTTCTTGGGGGTGGAGCCCCGGCGGACGGTGGCCTGCGGAGGCTGCACCTGGCTCGGGGGAAGGGGGCGTGGAGCTGGAATCTCACCCGGGCCCACAGAAGCCCGAAGCGCCCAACAATTGTGCTGGTGTACATACAGGGGAGGCGGCGGCTCCGCGTCCAGGCAGTCCAGCGGGCAGCTCACCAGGTAGGACCCAATCCGGGCAGGGAGGAGGTGTCCCTGTCCTCTTGCGTACTGCCCTCTGAACTTCCTCCTTGCTTGTGGGCCTGAGTCCACCAGCCGGCGTCCAGTGGGAACGCAGAGCTGGAGGGGCTGGCCTTCCTCGGTGCCTCTCCCAGCCTAGGGTTGCAGACCCCCATACCCAGAAGGTGGGATCCCGAGAAGAGATGGCCAGCTTTTCTCAGACAGTGCCTCAGTTGCTGAATGGGGTCTGCTCCCTTGCCCTGCTTGATCTGAGACTGGACCCTTAGTTTGGGGAGCTGGGAAGGGCGAACTGTCCCAGAGAACTGTCCCAGAGAAGCCTGCAGCTCCTGCTCCCTCTAGCCCAGGATGGAGAGCCACACACATTCCCCACCACCACCTCCCAGGAAATCGGGGAGCCTAGGAATGAAGAGGGAAGAGGGTTAGGACCCCAGTTTGGCCTGTTCTGGATTTCCTATGGAGGAGTTGCAGATTGGCCTGGAAGGCTTAGGGCTGAGGCTTGGGGAAGCAGGCTTTTGCAGGGCCTTGACTGTCAAATGTGAACGCAATCGGGGACAGAATCAGTGCACCAATACTGACACACTGGGCCTGGGGCACTAGCCTGGGTAGAGGGGCAGTCATGCCTCTTGCACGTGACACACAGATCACTGCAAAAATCCCATTAGGCCTGTGCTAGCCCCGTGTCAGAGGTGGAGGCTGAGGCACGGAGACACCAAGTGGTCCAAGGCCACAGCTGCTAAGGGGCATGGTGGGGATTAGCACCCAGAGGCCTGTGTCCTCACCCACCCCTCTGCCGTCTGCGATGTGGGCATCCAGCTGCAAGGCCATGACCTAGGCAGCAGGAGGAAGGGTGGGTGGGAAGGGAGGCAGGCATGGAGGGTTTGGACCACACCAGCCTCTTGGTGGGATGGGGACAGGGGAGAGGAAGTGACTGATTCTAGACTTGTTAGGGAGGGGAGCGAGGGTGATATAGGGGAGCCAGGCAGGGCCGGGAGTGTGGGGCAGGGAAGTTGGGAAGAAGGTGGCCTGACCTTGGCTGGGCCCTTAGCTTCTGGGCTTCAGGGGTCTGGATGCAGGATCAGAGACAGACAAGTTTCCTGTGAAGGTGCGGTGGTTCAAGTCCTGGCAGGTGGCTGAACAGCAGGCCCTGGGCCTAGCTGGCAGGGCAAGGGAGATGGGTGGCACAGGAGCTGGCAGGGCCACTCGGAAGCATTCTCATTGCTGCTGTAGCTTCCTTCATGGTTCTTACCACCTCCTGCATCTGCCTCACCCGCCCTGTTGGTGTGGCAGTGCTGGAGGGACCAGTCTGGCAGGAGCTGGCAGATTCAGTGGGCCTGAATGTGGATCCGAGGGCCTGACTGCCCGTAGGAGTTGACATGCCAGCACCACAAAGTGATACCTAAGACAGGTTGTTGAGGGAGGAAGGAGGCGTACTTCAGCTTGTGGTTTTGGGGGTTCACAGAGCAAGATCGGGGTGTCCCATGGTTTGGCGATGGTGGTGTTCTTGCTGGCAGAGTCCCCAGGCAGCACACAGAGAAGGCACCTGTCCTTGTGTCCCCCTCATTAAGCCACCCATAAAGGCGCTCCATCCTGACAACTTAATCCAACCCGATCATTACCCACCTGTCCCACTTCTAAGTGTTGCAGTGGGTTAAGTTTCCACTCAGTATAACTAACACAAGATCTTGGTGATTTTAACACATGGGTCTTCAGGGGACACCCAAGCTAATATCCAAATCTCAACTCCAGCTGAGCACCAAGGCCAAGGCTAGAGCTATGGGTTGGATTATGTTCTGGAGATTCTAACCCTAAAACTAACCTCAAACCTAACCCTAACCCTGACCAAACCCCTAAACCAACACTACCTCTAAACCCTAACCCTAACCCTACACTCAACCATAATCCTAATTCTGACCCTAAAATCTAACTCGAAACTCTAAACCCAAAGCCCTAATCCTAACCCTGACCCTAACCCCCACCCTGACCATAACCCCAATCCTGACTCTGGGGGATCAGGCTGTGGGCAGGTCTTTCACCAGGGAAACTGGACCTCAACCCCCCAGCTTTAGGGGATACCCTGCCTTCAGTATCTGACTCCAGGAAGTGGACTGAGCAAACCTGAATGCTTGGGGTGCTCCCACCTTTGATCCCCCTAAATAAGGCACAGTGACCCTTTCCTTCCAGCTCCTAGGAGGGAGCCAGGCACTTGAACCCATGTCTCAGATGGAAGGTGAGCACTGCTTCCCCCTACGTCCTAGAGAAGAGCACTGTTCAGGGCCGCAGCCCATTGTCCAGTGGGGCCCCGGGAAGCTGCCCCATTCCCCACCCTCCTGTGCACCGTCCCAGGGTTCACAGCAATAGCCCGAGGCAGGCTAGAATCCCAGGTACTGCTCTTTGGGGGACCCTGGGCAAGTTCCTCATCCCCGAGCGTCGAATGGCTCATCTGTAAACAGAAATAATGACACTGACCTGGCCAGCCCTACAGGCTTGATGTGCGGATGAGTGAGCTGTGTCCATGGTCATTACTGTGAGTCATGGCATCTAGGGGCACGGGCAATGCTGTGTTGTCTTACTTGGTGCCTTTGCTGGACAGATGTGAGGACCGGCCACTGAAGGACAGTGACTGCTGTCCAGAACTCCTACAACAGGCCACTGGGCACACGGGGGCCGGACCCCCATCCACAGGTGCACGTCCATCCCACAGCAGCTGCCTCGTGTGCAGAGGCGGGACGTGAGAGTTGGCGTGGGCTGGTGATTGGCCAGCCTCAGAGGGAGCTGGACAGGCTCTCTGCATGCACCAGCCATGAACTACGTGGGGCAGCTGGCGGAGACGGTATTTGGGACGGTGAAAGAGCTGTACCGGGGACTGAACCCAGCCACGCTGAGTGGGGGCATCGATGTGCTGGTGGTGAAACAGGCCGATGGTTCCTTCCGGTGTTCACCTTTCCACGTGCGCTTCGGCAAGCTGGGTGTGCTGCGGTCCCGGGAGAAGGTGGTGAGTGCTCCGGCGGCCTCTGCCGCGGGTGGGGTGGGCTTTCAAAGCCCCAGGCAGCCTCTGCAGTCCCAGGACTTTTGTATTTTCCTGATATGCTTTTGGGTTGGCTAGGGGTTTGGGTCCAGGAAGGCTCTCATTTCCCCATGGAGACAGGGCCATAGTTCTGGGAATGTTGGACCTGGCCCAGGCTTCCCTAGACCTCGCCTGATTATTCCTGGTCACCAAACCCAGCCCTGTCATCTGTCCGTGTGGGTGTGACCTTACCTGCTGGGCAGGGTGGTGGCAGTGAAGGGCTGGTTTGGAAGAAGTACACAGGAACGGATAACACTGTTGCAGGGCCAGCACCCAAAGGCCTGTCCCCATTCCCTTGGTAAAGCTGCTTGTCTCCCCTGGATCTGCTGCGTGTGTCTGCTCTGGGCCTGCATCTGCTTCACCCAAAGGCAATGGTGAACATCCTAGAATCCTTTAGGGAAGTGTACCTGTGGCAGAGAGAGTAACATCTAAGACACTGAACACTGGGTTACAGACTCAGCCCTTCTGGATTTATAGATTCACTGGCTGTGAAGCCACTTGCTCTCAAACCACCACGCCTCCAAGCTTCTGTTTCCACATCTGTAACATGGGGATAATGATAGTAGCTGCTGCAAGGGTGGTGCCTGGTAAATGGTGTTTCTTCCTATTGTTCATGCAGTGAACAACCTGGTGGCTTGGGACCCAGTGGTGACAAGACAGGCCACACAGGTCATGTCCCCATTCCTATGGGCTGGAGAAACACAGGGACATGGACAGCAAGCAGTAAACAGGCAGCCAGGTGGGCCATGGCCCTGCAAGTGCAGTGCCCTGGGCAGTTAGCAGCCAGAGTGTCCTGGACCAGGTGTGGCTCAATGGCTCATAGCATGGATGCAAGGCCCACGAGTCACCATTGCAGGTGGACATCGAGATCAATGGGGAGCCGGTGGACTTGCACATGAAGCTGGGGGACAGTGGCGAGGCCTTCTTTGTTCAGGAGCTGGACAGTGATGAGGTGAGCGTGGCCATCCCTGACAGCATCTGCCCTACCCTCTCACTGGGTTCCTCCCTAGGTTTGTCACATAGAAGTGTGTAGGCAGGCAGTGAAGAGAGAGCGTGTTTGCAGAAGGCAGGGTCCAGCCCAGGCCAGTGGAGGCATTTAAACCAGTTGAACCTGATCAAAGTCAAGGTGTATGCTGGACACTGTGCGTAGGACTCCGCTGAGGGTTGATCCCTGCCTTCACAGAGCATTGCAGATTGGTCTTGAGAGATGGACGATGGGCCTCTTTGGTCATTGCAGTGAAGGGGGTTGGAACTGGGGCTGGGGGCAGTCAGGGAAAACGTCATAGAGCAGGCGGGCTGAGTCTTAAAGGAGAAGTAGGCGTCCACTGTGGTAGACCTCAGTGGAAACAAGAGGCGAAATCCTGGACCTCTGCCTGACCCGTGAGGGCATCACGGCTTCTGGGAGCCCTGTGGTCAGCAGTGGCTGCCATCTCTGTCCAGCTCCGAGGAGCCCCAGGCAGGGCTAAGGATGCCCAGGCGCGGGGAGCAGCCCCTGGTTCCAGCCACTCAGCTCTATTCCTCCCTCTTTTATCCTCACCCTGGGGCCTGTTCCGCAGGAAGATGTGCCTCCCCGCCTGTGTACCTCACCCCTCCCGTGGGGGACCCTTTCTGACTGGGACTCCCAGCCTGGCACAGCTGGCAAGCCTGAGGGCCTCCTGGTGGCGGGTGCGGCCTCAGTGGGGCGGAGGAGGCGGCGGCGCAGGAGGAAAGCCAGGCGGAAGGAGGATGCAGCGGTGAATTCGAGCTCGGAAGAAGTAGAGGCGGGTGCAGAGAGTGAGCCGGCTGTGCTGGCAGCGCCCCGGCCAGAGCCTGCAGGGTATGTGACACTGACATGGGAGCTGGGGTGGGGGGACACCCACCGGGGCGTTGATTAGTGACCCTGGGGAACACCTTGACCTCTGCACTTGGGCTGCTTCAACCCCTCCCCTCCTACCACCAAGTCCCCTGATGTCCGCCGTGGCCATGCCGTGGCCATCCAGCCCAGTCAGTGACCACTTCCCTGTGCCCCTCAGCAGTGTCTGCTCGGAAGGGGAGTCCTCGCCACAGCCTGGAGACATCTACCCCTACTCGGATGGCGAGTGGGCCCCACAGGCCAGGTGAGAGACCAGGCTGGCTGCAGGAGGGGACCCCAGGCTCTCACCCCTGTGTGGGTTTTCTGGCAACACAGAGTATAACATCTTTCTCCTGTGTAAAGTCTTCAGATCTTCTTGCTTGCTCCTTCTCCATGGTGGTAAAGGCCACCATAACCTAACACCCACCACTGGATCAACCCGGTGGCATTCACTGTCATCACCCCCACTGGGGTCCAGAACTTTCCCGTCATCACAGGTGGAGCCCCTGCTGTGTGAGCAACCCGTACCCTCTTCCCCCACTTCTGCTGGATTGCTTTCTTAGTATTGATTTGTGGAGTTATTTAAGCCCTGACATATTGTTTATATCTTCCCATATTCTAGATACAACACAGGCATAAATATGTGCACAAATCTCTCTTTTCTTTTTTTCTGGGCTGGGGTGGGTGGCCAGGGCAGCAGCCTGACTTGGTGGCCTCCGGGTTTTATTTTCTGCAGCCTCGCTTCAGAGGGACTAGAGTCTCCTAAGAGTGACTCGGAGCTAGAACTGCGAGCCCTGGAGCCCAGCTCCCTGCGAGCCGAGTCGTACATGCAGTGGGCCTGGGGGAGGCTGCCCAAGGTGCGTACATGCTCGTCCACCCCAATTCCTGCCCTGGAGTGGCTCTGTAGCCTCCACAGGTTAAGGCTGGAGTGACTGGGGAGCCTGGGGCCGTTCCCCACTGCCCACCGCCACCCCAGGTTCTACCGAGCCTGAAAGACCAGCCCAGCCCCAGCCCACACCTGCCTACATGTGTTTGTCCATAGGTGGCCAAAGCAGAACGGCCTGAGTCTGCGATCATTCTGGAAGGTGGCATGGAGCTAGCTTCTCCTCTTCAGAGAGGAACCAGCCCCTCTTCCTCCTGTGGGCCAGGGGAGGACCCTCCAGGACCCCCAACCCCACAAGCAGAGGCTGGTGCTGACTTGCCTGGTACACAGTCCCGTGAGAGGGGGACTGTGTTGGGTCCCCCTCTCACCATCCTAGAGAGTGAGAAAAGTGGGACTCTGAGCTTTGGGGGTGCAGCCCTCCCTGTGGCCTCTAAATCCTGGAGCTGGACCACTCAGGAGAAGCCAGTTGTCACCAGGCAGCCAGAAGGATGCTCCAGGGAGACAGGTGAGTGACAGCTGGGTGATGCCTTGCACACCTGGTATGTTTCCAGCACCTGCTGTCCTAATCAGTACCTGCCAGCTCAGTGTAGCTCTGTAAACGAGATTAATAAACCGAGGGGCAGGCCTTTGGTGCAGTGGTCACAATGCAAGGGCCTGGGTTCGAGTCCCAGCTCCACTTCCACTTCCAGCTTCTGTGCATCCTGGGGCCGGAGCAATGGGTGATGGTTCAAGCACTTGGGTCCCGGCCATTGTGTGGGAGACATGGGTTACATCCCAAGCTCCTGGCTTTGTCCTGGCTCAGCTGCAGCTGTTACAGACATCTGGATAGGAGACCTGTGTCTGTCACTCTGCGTTCCAGGGAAGTCACTCAATAATTGAAAACCACAAGTTAAAATTCTATTTCCATTAACACTAACCCCACTTTCACATGCGCAGAGGGCATGTGCGGCTGGTGGCTGCCTGACGGGACAGTGTAAATGCAGGACGTTTGTGTCACCGCAGATGGTTCAGAGGCCGGGGTGCGGGGCAGGGAGGGGGGGTGCACATATGGCTCATGCTCCTGAGCACATGCTAGGTCTACAGGGCGAGGCTTCCCCCATCCACCTTCAGGTTCCCTGAAGAAAAGCCAGCACCTGGGCCCCAGCGACATCTACCTGGACGACTTGCCCTCCCTGGACTCTGAGGATGCAGCCCTCTACTTCCCCAACAGGTGCCTGGGTGTCTCAGGGTCAAGGACCCCACAGGGGTGGAGCTCCCCACCTCACCACCCTGGTATTCATGTAACTGCTGATCCTTTTGCCCCCCACCCTCCCTAGTGACTGTGAGCTGGGGGCGAGAAGATGGAGTGAACCCAGCAGCCAGAAGCTCCCGAGGGACCCCATCCCTGAACCCACTGCCAATGCAGCAGACACCATAGCACTGTCCCTCTGTGGTGGCCTGGCTCATAGCCGAGACATCTCCACGGGTAGGTGCCACTGCAGCCTGAAGACTGGCACTGGGCCCACAAGATACGGGAGGGACAATAGAGGCTTGCACCTGGGCTGGGCATTCCCGCATTTCCCATGAGGCAGGGACACGCCCTGCCCACTCCTGGGGCAGGAACAAGCACAGACATGGTGGGTAGCCTGTGGGTCAGCTATGTGCTGGCAGAGCATGTAGTCTTGTCGGGGCTGCGGGTCATGGGGTATATACCAGACTCACCCCTCTTTGTGCCTGTGTATCCAGAGAAGTTCAACCAGCACCTCGTCTCCTACCAGGACCTCGTCACAAACCCTGGGCTTCTAGAGGACCCGAACCTGGTGGTGAAAGTCAATGAGAAGTAAGTGCTGGGTTTGGGGGGGCTGGGGGTGAGGAATGGGGTAGAGCCCCCTCCCCTGCTCCTGCAGCTGCTGTGTTCTGTCCCTGCAGGTACTATAACTGGGCTGTGGCTGCCCCCATGCTTCTCTCCTTACAAGCCTTCCAGAAGAATTTGCCCAAGGTAATGGCTGCCCTGGAGAAGGTGGCCATCAGGGTCAGGAGGCCCTCAGCTGTGAGCAAATGGAGAGTGGACTGAGATGGGCCTGGGAGCCTGCAGCTTATTGGCCACAATGCTTGTCTGCAGAGAGGGGTCAGGGCCCCCCAGGAGCTTTGCCCCTTCCTGCGTGGACAAAGACCCGCCCTTGTCCCTGGTTCCCTAGCTGTGGTTGGAACTGTTAGTGATTTGACTTCCAAGGAGCTCAGGACAGGCCAGAGGGGACAGACACCCAGCAGAGACCCAAGCAGGGACAAGCCTTTTTGATTTGAAAGAGGGGGCTTGGGAGATGGAAGTGCCATCTTTCCCTTTCCTCTAAGACTCCCCCTCCAGGTTAGCTGTGGGATGCTTGCTGCCTGTGGGAGCAGGCGCTCGAGCACCTGCTGCATGCCAGGCCAGGTCGGGAACAGTCAAGAACAAAGCAGAAGCAGTCCCTGCCTTCCTGGGAAGACTGAATTGATCAAATATTCACCCTCAGTGCTGGGAAGGAAGGACACGAGGGATATGCCGAGAGCCTGTAGTGGAGTTGGGGTGGAGTGGGGGAAGGCAGCACCGGGCAGGTGCCCCAGGAGAGAGGATGAGAGGATGTGGGCAGAACAAAGCATGCAGAAAAGCCCAGAGGCAGGAAGGGACCCAGCCTCTCCACCCCTTCCCAGGACCTCCTGCAGGTGTTCACCGTGCTGCTGGGTAGGGCCAGCCTGTGCCAACCTCAACTTTGTGCTCCTCTGGCAGCAGACGAGGCCAGTTCTTGGCTTAGCTAGCCTTGCTTAAATGCTGTTAGCTGGTGCCTGCCTTTTTGGAGATACCTGGCCCCATTCTCTGGCTACCTCTGTGGGCCCACTGGCTAATAGGAAGGAAGAGGGCCACTGCCCTGGTTGGTTTACCCAGAGAGACAAACCACTTGAAGCCCCCAAGGCCTTGTTCCCAGCTCAGGTGGGCACCTGGCCAACTACCCTCAGCCCTCATCTTACTGACTTGGGTTGTCCCTTCTGTGTCTCCTAGATAAGCTATCTAGCACAGATCTAATCCACATTTCCCCCAAAGTCATGTGGCTTCAATCAGTGACACAGCCCTGGGGAGGCGGGGCTGCTCATGGGTTGGATCCCTGATTTCGGGAGGATATATGTGACGGTTTTGGAGGTTGAAGGGTGCTCCTGGCTGGAGACAGTTCTTCCCATTGCCACTTGGTACCATCTTGTAGGTGCTGAACACCTTCAGCTTCCGTCCTGCTCTAGTAGAGGGAGGGACTTGCAGAATTTGGGGAGGCAAAGCTGAGGCTGGGTTAGAGCAGGTCTGAGGTCAAGGTTAGGGGACAGGAAAGGTTCCTGGTCTCCCCTGGGGTTTGGCCTGGATTCATGGCTCAGGAGGGACCCCAGAGGGAGTCTGACGTAAGGTGTACATGGCATGGGACACAATGCCACAGCCTTTACCTGCCCGCAGAGCACTGTGGACAAGCTCGAGAAGGAGAAGATGCCACGCAAGGGTGGGCGATGGTGGTTTTCCTGGCGACGCAGGGACTTCCCAGTGGAGGAGGTGGGTGCTCACGGGCTTGAGCCTGGGCAGGGCCCCAGGCAGGGCAGGAGGCAGGCTCCACTGATGGCTGTTCCTCCTACAGCCCAGTGCCCAGAGGGAGAGAACCACAGGCAAGGAGCCCGAGGGGTGAGTCGAACTTCCTCCTGGCTGTGGCTAGCTCTGGAAATGATGGCCTGGGGTGGGGCAGGGCGAGGTGCGTTGGGTGGGGAGGAGGGGAAGGTAGTGAGTGGGGCCAGCACCCATTTTCCCAGCCAAAGTTCTCATCACTCCCAAAGCACTTTTATGCCCTAGAAAAATTCCCACTTCGCAGATGGGGAAACTGAGGCCCAGAGGCATATCAGGTGTCCTTCAACCACTGATGGGAAATGGTAGAGCTAGAACAGGTGCCAAAACTCCTGGCCCAGGCATGGGGCTGCTGTCATAGGAAGGAGGGTGAGGGCTCTGTCCCAGCAGTGCTGACTTTGCTTCCTGTTCTCACCTCTAAAGTGACCCAGCTGCCCACAGGGAAGTGGAGGGTGAGCAAGGCTGGGTCCATGGAAGCCAAGGCAGGTGCAGCTGGGAATAGGCCCCCCGCCCCGATGCACCCCCAGGTATCTCAACTCAGGGCTGAACCTAGCAGCCTGGCTATGTGGGTGTAATGGCTGTCCATGCTGGGCCTTAGCTCCAGCTCTCCTGCCACCTGCTTGGGTGGAAACTGCCAGCACCTGTGCACCTGTATGTCTGTCGCCAATGCCACCCCCTCCCCAGTGGTCCCTGGGGGGCAGGGGAGCAGTTTCAGGTTTTCCACACCTGTGGTGGGTGTGCCAAGCCTAAGAGCCAGTACTGCCTGAAGGGAGACGACCAAAGCCCTGAGCAGTGAGGATGATGATGGCGGGCGCCCAGACAGCCCTGTGATCCTCGAGGCCCTCACCCCACCACCGGGGTCTCCTGTCTACATGCCCACCTACAAGAAGTCCCTCCGCCTCTCTTCCTCTCAGATCGTAAGTGTGCACATACGTGTGTGTGTGTGCGTGTGTGTGCGTGTGCAGGGGGGCTGAGCTCATCTGAGAAATGGCTTTGCAGGGCTGCACTGCATGCTCATGGGAGAGCTGGGCCCATCCCCTTGGGGCTTCCCTGATGGCCTCCGCCTGAATACCTGCAAAGGCAGGACACTTACCCATGCACATGATAACCTACCTGTCTGCCATGTGGGATGTTCTGAGTCCTGCATCCTGAACCAGGGGGCTCTTGGCCGGCCCTTGGAGGCCACTGGAGGGGAAGTGGATGCCACCCATCCAGAGTGCTCCACCCCTGCTGGCCTCCCAGCCTCTGTGCTGCCTGGGCTCCTGCAACAAGTTATCTTATCTTCTTCCTGAGTGTGGCTCTGAGGCCAGGGAGATGTCTGGCAGGGTCTGTCCAGCCTGTTCTAGGGCCACAGCCACCTGCCTGGGGTCACACCCACTACGGGGGTCAGCTGGGGTCTTGAAGCCTTGGTCGCCTGGCTTTGGTGCAGCACTGCCCCAGTCCTGATCTCTGGCCACATGCATGGCTAGGCTTCTCTCCTTGGCCTGGTGGGGAGAGAGGGACAAGGGGGAATGAGAACTAAGGAGCTTGAACCCAAAGCTTCCTATGAAGACCTCCATGGTCTTCATATTGTCTGGGGTGTCTCAGTGCCAAGAGTAGCCCCAGCCTTGGGGCTGACCTTGAAACAAAGGAGCATCACAATACCACTTTGTTTTCTTTCCAAGAGGGGTGAAAGGGAACTTGGGTCCTGAGCAGCATGAGCTCCTGCTGCCCACAAGTGTGTCTGCTGAACTCAGGAAGCCTGGTGGGTTGGGAGGAGGAAGCTAAGGCGAGGTCTGTGGGGACTGCCAGCCAGTTTGGAGTGGAGAGGGGGAGTGGGCAGCACCTGGCTGTGGCACATCACAAGCTCCCCTCTGCTTGGCCTGGCCCCAGCGGCGCCTGAACCTGCAAGAAGGGGCCAATGATGTGGTGTTCAGCGTGACCACACAGTACCAGGGCACCTGCCGCTGCAAGGCCACCATCTACCTGTGGAAATGGAACGACAAAGTGGTCATCTCCGACATCGACGGCACCATCACTAAGTGAGGTCCAGCTGCCTCTGAGCCCAGGGACTCACGTCCCTTTGCGCTGGGAGGTGTCTATCAGCAGAGGCAGGGTGGGGGCCCCTCTCTTCTGGGAGGGTGGTGCTGAGGCTGAGCTTGGGTCACACTCATGGAGCCTGTGGTCTACATGGCACTGACATCCAGGAACCCCTCATCTCCGGCTGCAGGTCGGATGCTCTGGGCCACATCCTGCCTCAACTAGGGAAGGACTGGACTCACCAGGGCATCACCAGTCTCTACCATAAAATCCACCTGTGAGTGCCAGCCGGGGCCAGGCTTGAGGGAGGGAGGAGCAAGACATCTTAGACCTTCCCTGGCCTCTGCCCTTGCAAGCCAGGCTCGGCAGCCAGCAGGGCTCACGGGAGGCAGCCTGGGCAGATCCCTGGCACATGGAATCCCTCCTGCTGGAACCATGTTCCAGGGTGGGGGGGGTCTTTCTGCTAGTCCCATGCTAGAGGGGAGGCTTCCTCCCCCTGGTCCTCCACACATCTCCTAACTGGGACAGCCACGGAAGCCACTTCCTGGGCTTGGTCTAGCCGTTCCCCTAAGTCCTCCTGCTGTGCAATGTCTGGGCTGAATAATCAGAACCCTAGGTTTGGGCTAGTCTGGCTTCTGATGACTTGTGCCTCCTGCTCCCAGGAACGGGTACAAGTTCCTGTACTGCTCTGCACGGGCCATCGGCATGGCTAACCTCACCAAGGGCTACCTGCAGTGGGTGAACGAGAGGGGCTGTGGCCTCCCCAGGGGCCCCATCCTGCTGTCTCCCAGCAGCCTGTTCTCCGCCCTCCATAGGTAACCATCCTGGCTCTGTACATGCCCACTGCTGGCCCAGCCCCCATTACATTAGCTGTTGGTGGCAGCAGGGACTGGGGCAAACCCCCATGTCACCTGAGGCTGCCCTCCCTTCCATTTCTGTCCCTCCCCGCTGCCCAGGGAGGTAATTGAGAAGAAGCCAGAAACATTCAAGATTGCCTGCCTGAGCGACATCCAGCAGCTGTTTCTGCCCCAAACACAGCCCTTCCACGCTGCCTTTGGGAACAGACCCAATGTGAGTGTGTCCCCTCCTGTGGACCGAGCCTCCTCTTCTGTCCCCTGCCTCTGTCCCACAGGTCTTCCTTGTCCCCCACAGGATATCTTGGCCTACCGCCAAGTGGGCCTACCAGAAGCACGCATCTTTACTGTCAACCCCCGGGGAGAGCTTATCCAGGAGTTGTTGAAGAATCACAAATCCACGTGAGGCCAAACCCTGCACCCCTGCACCCCAAGGTCTCCCCTCTCCTCCCTGGGGTCCGTCCCTTGCTCAGGGCTCCCAGGATGAGGGGATGTGGCATCTCCAGCAGGCATGGCAGAGGCCTGGTCTGCTGGGCAACTCAGGTTCTCAGGGCTGGCCCTGTCCCACCCACAGGTACCAGCGGCTTAGCGAGGCAGTGGAGTTTCTCTTCCCACCGGTGGCCCGGGGCCCCAGCATGGACCTGGCCCACCCCGAGTACAGCAGCTTCTGCTACTGGCGGGAGCCACTGCCTGCTGCAGACCTTAACGCCCTGGCCTGAGCCTGCTCTGGGTGTCACAGGGTCCACCAGCCAGAGGTCTGTGTCCCTGTCATCCCAGCTCCTGACCAGAGAGCCAAGAGGGAGACCCCCACTGAGGCTTCAGCCCCTTTACACAGGAAAGGTTTGGCAGCAGCAAGGGTGAGCTGAGCTGGAAAGAACTTCTGTTCTTTTGGAAAGAATTCTGTTCTCTCACCTGCCTTCTAAGACAGTTCCCTCCAAAGCCAGACTCTCACCTGGCCCTGGTCCATAGCCCCCGAGTCAGGCATCCTTGCTTTTGGTTGTTAGTGTGTGGTTTTTCGACCTTGATCCTTGGGTGTTCCCATGCCCCTCACACAGCAGGGAGTCTGGGCACAATGCAAGGGCTGAGGGAACATGGCTCCTGCCACCCCAGCCCCAGCCCCAGCCCAGGCGCTGCTGGCTTTTCTGGCACTTTCCCTGAGGGCTCAAACCCCAAGGCAGGTGGGTGTTTCCCGGCCGTTCTCCCCTAGGCTCTGCGAGTCAGCCCAGCCCACCAGCTGCAGGATGAATTCTCACATGGAGGAGGCATGGGAAGTGGGGCTGCCACCCTGGCCGCCTTCCCTCCCACAAATTTTGGGGAATAAAGTAGCTGTAGACTGGCTAAAAGCTTTAATCCAGAACCTGCCCCCACCCAGCCCCCCAGCAGTTTCAAAGTGGAGATCAGAATATCCAATGTCCAGATACCAGAAGGTCAGGCCAGGAGGGCCTGCAAACAGCACAGGAGCTGCTGGGGGATAAACTGAGGCCAGGACCTTCGTCAAGACGGGCGTCAGTCTCTGGGCATGGCACAGACCTCACGAGCACCGTTTTCAAGTTGTCCCTGAATTTCTTGCCACTTGGTGAACATCCTGGCAGGGTTGGAGTTCCCCAAGGGTGTTAAAAGCAAGGCCTATGCCTCTTGCCCTGTGGCTGTGGCCTCCCTCTCAGGGTCTGGCCTCGTTCACGCCTTAATGACGCGCCAGCACTGCCTTCTAGGAAGAGAGAACCTGTGTAGGTTCCGGAGCACCTTGAAAACATCTGGGAGGGAAGGGAAGGATAAATTGTAGTGGGGTCTCCAGTGGGATTGCCTGAGTCCAGTTCTTTCCTCTGGGGTCCTACAGCTGCCCGAGTCCTCACCCTTTAGGGAGGCACCAAAGAAATAAAGTGAATTCTCAGTGAGCCCATGTGCTGCCGTTCTATGCTGGGAACCATGTGGGGAGCTGGAAGCCTCTGGGTCCCAAAGCTGCCAGGTGTGAACACAGCTCCAGGGCTATCACCCTCCTGCTGAAGTGGAGCCCATTTGCCTGGGGATAAGAAGTCAGGGAATGAGACCAGAAGCCTCCAAGAGCTGAGGACTACTGCTCACAGGCAAAGGGAGGTTTGCATAGGTTGCTGGCCTGAGACTGGGCCTGTGGTTCTCTCCACCCTGGCCTGTACCTTTGCAAACCAGAGGATGCGACGCCCTGGCCTTTGGGTGTGCCATCCTTGCTTTGACCATGACCCCTCCGCCCCAGAGTTGTCCAGGCTATGTAGTACTGAGCATGGATTTTGCTAGCCAGGACAATTGTGTGGAAGTGGATCAAGGCCATTCCCAAAGTGGCATCAAGGTTAGACATGCTGGGAGGTGCTGCTGGCCATGTCTGGGCTTTGGGGTGACCTTCCCAGGACTGGGATCTGTCCAAACTGCCTAGTCAGTGTGCCCCAGCCGGGCCTGCTCAGCCAGCTGGGCCCGGCAGTCCAGTAGGTCATCCCGGAGGCGGGCAATGTCTTGCGTGTGCTGGGCCAGCGTGCGATTCAGCTGGTCCATGTGGCCCCACAGGCCCTCCCTGGATCCCAGTGGTTTGGTGGGCAAGCTGTCCAGGCCTGTAGCCAGCAGGCCCAGCCTCTCACACACCCCCTCCATCTGTGCCACTCGCTGGTCAAAGTGACCCACTGCGTGCTGGAGCTGCTGGGCTGTGTCCTGGCAGCGACTCAGCCTGCCGGCCATACTGGCCACTCCGGCCTTGAGTCGCTCCAGCTCTCCCCGCAGGGTCAGGACCTGCTTGTGGCCGGCCTGAAGCCTCGAGCCTTGGCTGCTGACCTGCTCCTGGATGGCGTGGACTTCAGCTTCCACCTTGCGTTCCCTCTCGTCCAGGGATGAGTTGGCGGCCAGGAAGGCATCCGAGTACTGGCTGACAGAGTCACTGAGGCCTGTGAGTGACTTGCTCACTGAGTTGAGGTTGACTTTGAGTAGCGTGATCTCGCCCTGGAGGGTGCGGCCCATGCCTTCTGCCAGCTGCCCCTGCACCTCGGCCATGGTGCTGTTGAGCTGCTGGAGCAGAGCTGCGTGGCTGGCCACCTGGTGCAGCAGGGCCTTGCTCTGGCTCTGCCAGGCCTTCACCTCTGTCACGAGGTTGTCCAGGGTGCCAGAGGTGGTGCTGGGGGTACATGAGGTCTCCAGGGAGACCAGCCGTTGTTCTAGCACAGCCAGCTCCGTCTGCACGAAGGGGCGTGCTGACCTGCCTGGTGGGGTGCTGTCGTGGCTTAGCTGGCCAGCCAGGTTTGTCAGGCGCTCCTCTAGGCTCTGCACCCGGTCTTCCAGCATGGTTCCAAAGCCCCCTATCTCCATCCTCAGGCAGCAGTCCCTCATGCTACTCTCTGTGCCATTGAGGGGCTCTAGACCCTCAAGCAGCCCATCTATGCCTCCCTCAAGCACGGCAGCAGAGAATCTGGTAAGCTCATCCCCAGCCGGGATGCCTGGGCTCCGCTGCGTCTCGGCGACCATCTGCAGGTTCCTCTCAAGGCTGTCTATGCGGGCGCTGATCAAGGCCAGTTGGCCACAGCAATTGCCCCTGGCAGCCACGCTCAGGCCCTGTAGCCGGGTGCCCAGCTGCGAGAGCTCCCGGCGCAGGGCCAGCTCCCTGCCATCAAGGCGCTGGTGTAGCCTCCTGCTGGCAGCCTGGCCCTGCTCACACTGCCTCTGTACCTCCTGCACCCTCAGGTCACACTCACTCTGGATACCTTGCAGCTTTTGCTCAAAGCCATCCAGCAGGCTCCCCCAGAGCTTCTGCAGCCTGTGGTCCACGTATTCTTCCAGCAGAGCTAGGGAGGTGAGCGGAGACGGTGGAGTGTCCCGCAGCCTCTGCAGGTGCGCCTCATGGTCCAGGGCCAGCCCGTGCACCTCATCCAGCAGCTGCACTTTGGTCTGCAGCGTGTTGCTCACCTCTGTCACCTTGCTCAGGATCTCCTCCAGGGGAGGTGTCAGTGGTCCTCCGACTCCATCTCCCCAGTCCACAACCCCAAAACCTGCAGGGGCAGCAGGAGCCCCGGGTCCACCAATTGTCCTACTGGGGTCTTCTTGGCTGGCCACCAGGCCACTGAGGGTACCATATGCTTGTGCCAGGCGTCGGACATCTCCCTCCAGGCGTTCTAGACGCTCACCAAACAGTCCTGGGCCTTTCCTTCCTGGGGAAAGAGAGCTCTCTCAGCTTTGCAGCGGGGGCAGGATGGGGTCCACCAGGCTCATCCTCATGCCCAGCATGAAAACAATCCTTCCAAGCCCTCTCTGGGCCAGACCCCACCCCTCTCTGATGATCCCAAGAGTCCCAAGAGGCGGACATACCGTGGGGGCTTGGGGCTGCTCTGCTGTGTGGAGGGGGCCTGGGTCCTGGGCCCAGCTGTCCGGAGGGAGTCTGCGGCTCAGGCTCCACCTGGGGTGGGGTGGCCCCATGGTCAGTAAGGTGCTCGGGGCAGTTTTCTCCAGTGAGGCCAGGGCAGCAGCGCCAGGTAAGCTGAGTTACTGTCTTATAACCAACCTTGTATTTGGGTCTGAGCACAGTATGGTACCTGGGGAAGAGGGCAGGCAAAAGGGCAGGCTCCTCATTTGTGAGCTGAGACACCTGCCCCTAGCATGCATCTTCTGACAATTGTGTCTGTACCTCACGCCCCCTACAATTGTCCTTTTGCTGTGGTTAAGGTGATGGGGGTGTGGGTGGGGTGGGGGAAGGCTCCCCTGGAGCTGTGTAAAGGGAAGATGCCAATGGAAGCCCACCCCATACTGTGTGATTGACTCCCAAGACAACTGGGACCCCTTAGGCTCATGCTGCCCTAAGGAATTCCACCGGCTTCCGTGGTATCTCAGTATTGAACAAACTGCCCACCCTTGCCCACTTCCTTCGTGGTAGGTGGGTGGGGTCCTGCCCTGGTGCTGCAGATGGCAGCTCCTCTCATTGCCCTGGAGGCCACACCTGGCTCCCATCAGCCCTGCTGGGTTCTTTTTGCTGCAGAACAGGGGTGCTGCAGCCCACAGAGACTGATAAAAGGGCACTTTAGAAACAGGGCAGGGCAGGCCAGGGACCTTCTCTTCATACTTGGCCACATGCCCGTTCACCTACTGCCGTGCCACAGCCAACAGATCTGCTTCCTGACACGCCAGAACCTCTCCAGGTAGACTGGATGTGATGGCCACAAGGCTCCCAGTTACCTGGCCAAAGCCCCACATCACTCTTCACTCCAGACTCACCTTCTGTAACTGGGGTTTGTATCCAGGAGCCCCAGGTGCACAGGATGGGGACATACTCACGTGACTGTCCTGGGGCACTTGGGTCCCCACCCGCACTGCCGGTACTCTGCCTTCACATAGCTCTCGGCTCCCTCCTGCAGGATGCAGGTCACGTTCTGGTGCACCACGTAGGCACAGAGGGCTCTGCAGGTGAAAAATGTGCCCTGGACTGTCAGGCCTCAGCCAGGCGTGCCGAGGCTCCCATCCTCGCTCCTCTGGAGATCCCAATCTCTTTCACCCGTTTTCCTTGTTGCTGAGAAGTAAGGCCTTTGACTCAGACTCCAGAATCACCTTCTGGGCTGGCCCCAGGACCAGCAGGCATCCCTGGGGAATGGGCCGGGGAAGAGGCCCCTGCTGGCCACTGCCTCAAGGGCCTTGCCCCAGCGCTCACTCTCCAGCTCCTTCTAGATCAGGCTTTCTATCCTTCCCCTTCTCTGGGGCCTCACACCTTCCTTGTAGTTTTCCAACCCCTTCCTTTGCTCAACTCCACACTCTCAGTGCTTGTACTGCCCACTGCAGGAAACCTGCTCTGCCATGCCCATGGACTGGCCATGCTCCTCCTATCGCACCTCTCAAATTCAGCTAAGCCCAGACAGGGCCCCAACCCACCTCGCAGAGGCCAGATGGCAAGCCACTGGTTCCTAAATTTTGACCAAAAGCTGGGGGCAGCAGTGTCCCTCACGAGCTGGGAACGACTGTCCCAAAGCATGGGCTCAGGCTCCAAGTAACCCCCACCAATTGGAGGCTCAGCCATGCTGGGGGCACCTAAGGGGTTTGCTGGGACCAGACTGATGGTAGAAGTAGGAGTGGAAAGGCATGGAGAGATGAGATGCAAGGCCTCAGCGCTGGGCCGCCTCTTGTGCTCAACACACCGACCGGCGCCCTCCCTCCACTCCCTCCACCTGGGCTGCTGCCCCAGGATCCTGCACACAGAGCAGCTGGAAAATGTTACTTCGTTGGAGAGGTTTCCGCGGGCACTGCCAGGATCTCAGCTGCCGTGCCAGGCCCCCTCGGCTTCTTTTTTCCCTCCCCAGCATCCTGGAGAGTGGGGCGCCCGTCCCGGCGGGGGCTTGGCTCGGGGCAGGTGGGATCTGCAGCGCAGCGCACTGCACCGCGTGGGCCCCGTCCCTCCTTCTCTCTTCCCGCCACTGCATGAACCACGCTCTTACTTGTGCGGTCCCGGGCGCAGACTGGGGCGCCATCCCGTCGTGTAGAGGTTGTAGCGAGAAGCACCGGGCAACGCGGGCCGTGCTAAGAGTGGGATGCCCTTGGCCTGCGTCCCCCAGAGCAGCGCCGCGAGGGCGCACAGCCAGACGGGCAGGCAGCGGCCGCCCATCGCGGCCCCCGCGTCTCTACCTGGCCCCGCGCGGTGGCCTCCGCCGGGTGTCTGCCCACCGCGCCAGCCGCTAGCCTGCCCGGGTCCAGCCGCTGCTCGTGCCCCGCTGGAGCTCCCCCACGGGCCGCCCGGTGCTTTGCGGTGGCTGCGTCCCGCCGAGTGGCCGGCTCTGCTCGCGGCTGGGGCCGCAGAGGGGAGGCGGGAGGCGGGCTCTGCGCGGATTAGCATAAAGTTGGGGCCCGCGCAGCTCTCTGCCGCCGGCCCCCTCCTCCGCCGCCGGCCCCCTCGTCCGCCGCCAGCCCCCCGCCCCAGCTCGGAGCCGACGCCTGAGGGGCCGCCAGCCCGCGCCAAGTTTAGAAAGGAATAGTCCTCGCCGTGCCCGCACGCCCCAAGGTGGCAGGGGTGCTGGCTGCTGCACCCTGGCAAACCCTGAACACACTCCCCCGAAGCAGAGAGGCAGACCCTCGAGGCCGGCCACCCGCACTGCTAGCCGGTCTCAGAAAATTGAGCATGCCTAGGAACGGGTTCCGAGGCGACCTGGTTGGGTTTTGGGGTGCACTAGCACCGCCCTCCGAACCACCTCCTTGGAACAGTCCCCGCCAGCCAGTTCTGCCTCCTGAACCACTGTCGGGAGGCGCCCGGGGTCTCTGCCGAATCCTCCTGCCACTAGCCTCTGCCGTCCAGCTTTGTGACCAGGCTGCCTGGGAACGCGGAGAGCCTCTGCCCAGGATCTTGTTGTCTCTGAGCCTTTTTGCCTCTGCTGCACCAAGCTGCGGTTGAGCTAAAGCTCCCTCCACACTTTGCTTGTGAGATGAGTTCCGAGTTGGCCTTTCCCACCTTCCTCATTCAGAGTGGCCTCATCCAGTCAGACCTCTGTAGGAGCCTGATTCTGTGGGCCCCGCCAAATGGAACTTCTGCCCGGCTTTGCATCTTTTACCTGAGGAACTGGCAGGTATGCAGAACACACACACACACACACACACACACACACACACACACACACACACACACACACTGACTTTGATGTGACCACCAACACCTTCCTGTCAGGGCTATGGTGTCAAGGCCACTGGAAGGAGTAGTTGTGACTCCCCTCATCCGTCCATGCTCCAGGCATCTCCCAGCCACGGTGAGGCATGCACCTGACCCAAGCCAGCTCATGGATCTTTCTCCCTGGCTTTGGCATTGAAAGCACAGGTGGAAGGGATTCCAGCTCCCAGGTGTGCATTTACCAGCTCTGGAGGGCCGCTGCAACAAGCCTGCGGCTTGAAACTATGGAACATCTTCGCCTACAGCTTCTGGGGGTTAAAGGGCCAGGAGGAAGGCATGAGCAGGGCTGCGCTCCTGCCGAGGGCTCCAGGAAGAGTCCCTGTTTGCCTGTGTTTCGTCTTCCAGTGGCTCCCAGTGCCCCTTGGCATTCTTTGGCTTGTAGCTGTGTCACTGTAACCTCTGCCTGTCTCCACATGTCCTCTGCTCTCCTTTTAAAAGGACATTGGCCATTGGATTTCAGGCCCAATCTAACCTCATCTATAAAAATTACATCGGCCAAGAGTGTGCTCCGGCAAGGCTACATTCTGAGAGTCTAGAATTTGGGGGAGGAGGGGCACTCGCTGTTCCCTCCACTGCAGGGGCTTTTTGGTGGCCGGAAGGGAATGGACCATGGCGTGTTGTAGTCATTGCTCTGTGTGAGATGGGGCGGGGGTGCTGGGGAAGAGGGTGTGCCAGGGAAGAGGTGGTGTACAGACAAGGGCTGACAGACAAGTGTGGTGATAAGCTGGGGCTGCTCCTTTCTGCTCCCAGTCACTGTCTCAAGTTGGCATGAATGCCATGAGCCCAGCATGATGCCTAAGCTGGCCTCTCACCCTCCCCACACAGTGGGCAGGTGTTACACTGTCACGCCTTTCATGGGCATGGTCGGAGCCATTTTGCTGGAGGCAGGAAACACAGTATCCATGACGGTGCTCTTGGTCTAAATGAGAGACATCCCAGGGGAGGAAATCAATAGAACTCAGCTCTGCGCCCCGGGCCAGAGCTCTGGCTGGCTGGCAGAGCTGCCCAGCTGGCCCTGGGAGAAAACTCCCCGACCCCAGGAGCTGTGATCTTTTCCCAAGGTACCCCACCCCTTCCTGTCCTTCCCTCCCCCTGCCCCAGATGTGGGAGGAGGCTGAGCCGTCCGCGTTTGAACTTGGAAATGGCCATGGAATAGGGGACTGAAAGGATAGCCGAGTCCCCCCCTTCCCTCTTTCCCAGGTGGCTGACATCAAACACCAGGCACACTCTAATTGGAATGGTTTGGGGAGCCAGGGCCTGGGCCCCATCCCAGTGGGAGGACGAAAGACGTCAGACTGCTCAGGGCTGGGGCTGGCCACAGCCTGAGGCTGGGGTCTCCCCCATAGACTGTGCAGCCACTTTGTGTCTGCCAGACAGGAAGCCTGGGGAGGGAAGCACATTCTGACACTGGACTTCCTCCACCTGGCTGCAGACGGGCTGAGGGGCCTCGCAGGACACGGTTTCTGTTCCCAGGGACATATGCAGCTACACGCAGGCACATGTAGCCCAGCCCAGATACCACCTTCCCACACACAGGCGCTCTGCCTGCCATTACCTGGGGACACAGGAAGCACACAGGATGAAAAGAGCATCTGAGATGGGTGCAATCTTGTATTTTGAGTCTGTCAGTGGCATGGGGAGAGGGACACGGCTGGAATGTATGCTGGCCACTAGAGCCTCCTGCTTTCCTCTGAGAACATAGGGCAAGCGCTGGCTCCCCAGGGTTGGGCGTGGGGTGGGGCGGGGCAGAAAATCTGCGAGAATGGCTTCCAGGAAACCACAAGAGGTGGATTTGCCCTGTGACCCTGTCTCACAGAGACAGGCCCCTCCCTGGGGACCTTTCTCTGCTTCTCAGCCCTTCTCGGAATGGAGATTCCTGTCCCCTCACCAAGCCCCTTCCACCTGGCCCAGGATGTGCCTCCCCTTCCTCACGGAGAGCCACACACACACACACGCACGCACACGCATGCACACACACACACACACACACACACGCACGAGTCATAGAACGCAGACCCCTCAGAGAGACAGAAATAGAAAGCGCTGAAGCTGCAGGGTTTCTGGCACAAGCGCTGGGTACAGATGAGCCACTGGCTGCTCCAGATAGCTCAGTCCCGAAGTCAGCCAATAGGGACAAAGCTCCAGGCTGCAGGTTCCCAACTCCCATCAGCCCCTTGTCCTTACCAGTCCCCTTCCCTTGTCTCCTTTTTGGGACAGTACATAGCTAGGCACCCTGCATGTGGCCCCACTTTGGAAATTCCATGCAGAAGGCTCTTTCCCTGGCATGACTTCCTCCCATCGGCATTTTGGTTACACCTGCAGCCTCAGAAAAGGTTAATGTCAAATCCACATGAGCTTGTGGGGCAGAGGTTTGCAATGACCACTTTGGGCTGAGTAGAAGCATGTCCAGGGCACTGGCGTGGGTGGATAGACGGGCACCTCCAAAGGGAGGTGAATTCTGCAGCCCAGATGAGCTCCCACTGAGTGAGAGTAGCTTCAAGACAACTTAAAACTTGGACCATGCTGGATGGGCTCTCCACGTGGACATATGCAAACCAGATGCAAGCATTATGCAAATGATATGCAAAATATGCATGGGCCTCTCAACTACTGCAAATGCCAGATGTGGTCCTTGGGGACTCTGGGTTTTCAGCTGAGCCCTGTTGTGAAGTAGAGTCAGGAAACAACTCACCAGTCTTGTGGGGAGCAGGAACGGCTGAGCTTGGAGGTGGTTCACCCACGGTGATGGAAGGAACCAGGTAGGGAGTCAGTCGGACTTGTATTTGTATCAAACCTCTTCCCATGCTCAGGCTGCATGACCTCCTAGGAGTTACTTCACCCTTCTGAGCCTCTGTTTTTCCATCTGTGAAATGGATCAGAGCACTGGCTAAAAGCATTGCATGGTGAGGCAGACAAAAGATGCTCAGTGGGGATGTCAGGGTTCAGAAGAGGGTCTTTCCTGGGGGTGGCAGGGGAGGGTTGGGTTGGATGCCCGGATTCCTTTCTAGTCCCAACAACAGCATCTGTGCCCTTCGAGCTGTAGGCGGGAGCTTCCCTGGAGTAGAACAAGCTGCCAGGGGCCTGGTGGGCACCATGTTAGACATGCCTAGAATCCATGACTTGTTTTTGCTCACTCCAAAACCGTGCAGACGTCCCACTCAACAGGAACTTGTGGTGGGTACTGCCGGTGCCCTGCCCAGACCCCCTTCACCTGGCCCGGGCGCCCACCCACCGCCCTGCTGTAGGCGTAATGACTGTTAATACTCACAGCTGCTGCTTCTCCCACGAATCGCCCTTGGCCGACGGCCACCTTCCCTGGGAAGTTTTGAACCTCCCACGCCGCGGCCGACGGCAGGCTGATACAGGGCCATGAAAGGCAGCTTTCTTGTCTCCGGGGGGGGGACAGCTCAACAGTGCAAGAACTCCTTGGCTCAGGCCCCATCCAGACCCACCTAAGACCTATTCCTGCTCTGCTCCTCTCCTGCCTCCCCATTTCCCTAGTTTTGCTACTTATGCCCCTTCCTTGGAACCCCCACCACGCCCTGATGTACCACCTGTCCCTGGATCCCTGTCTCAGGCCCAGTTTCTGAGCTCCTCCCACCCAAGCCAGGGAGACAGACCAGCAAGCAAAGGACAGTGAATGTGACCTTTGACGAGGGCAACTGGGGCACCCCAGGGTGGTGGGCTTCACAGAAGATTAGGTGAAAGTGTGTCTGGGCCTGGGGGCAGGCAGGAGCCAGGGTGCTGCACAGAACAGGTCTCTAGGAGTTCAGCACCTAGGGGGCAGGGGAGCATTCTATGGGGAGGGGAGGGGTAAGGCTTGGGCAGGGCCTATAGGAAGCAGGGAGCCTGTGGCATTTGGAGCACCCTGTGGAGCTCTGGATGACACAAGCCCCAGGAGGGGGTCCTGTGCACTTGCTCTTGTGACCAGCCATGTGACTTCCAGGGCA